TAAATATATATAATGGGGAAAATATAAATATATATAATGGGGAAAATATAAATATATATAATGGGGAAAATATAAATATATATAATGGGGAAAATATAAATATATATAATGGGGAAAATATAAATATATATAATGGGGAAAATATAAATATATATAATGGGGAAAATATAAATATATATCATGGGGAAAATATAAATATATATCATGGGGAAAATATAAATATATATCATGGGGAAAATATCAATATATATCATGGGGAAAATATCAATATATATCATGGGGAAAATATCAATATATATCATGGGGAAAATATCAATATATATCATGGGGAAAATATCAATATATATCATGGGGAAAATATCAATATATATCATGGGGAAAATATCAATATATATATCATGGGGAAAATATCAATATATATCATGGGGAAAATATCAATATATATCATGGGGAAAATATCAATATATATCATGGGGAAAATATCAAGATATATCATGGGGGAAATATAAATATATATCATGGGGAAAATATAAATATATATCATGGGGAAAATATAAATATATATCATGGGGAAAATATAAATATATATCATGGGGAAAATATCAATATATATCATGGGGAAAATATCAATATATATCATGGGGAAAATATCAATATATATCATGGGGAAAATATCAATATATATCATGGGGAAAATATAAATATATATAATGGGGAAAATATAAATATATATAATGGGGAAAATATAAATATATATAATGGGGAAAATATAAATATATATCATGGGGAAAATATAAATATATATCATGGGGAAAATATAAATATATATCATGGGGAAAATATAAATATATATAATGGGGAAAATATAAATATATATAATGGGGAAATACAAGGAAACTTCTCAAAATGACTTCTGCAGATCATTTCGGTGGATCCAGTGGATCCATTAGAAACAAGCGTCACCTGATTGGATGCGTCACAAACTTGGGGGAAGTTTCACTTGTTCTTTGGTGTGTATATATATGTATATGTATATATATCATGGATAATCTAATATTCCATATCGAAAAGGAAGCCCCATCTCCCAACTTCTGGTGCTTCTAATCCCACATATCAGATATGTACATATATATATATATATACAGTAATATACACCTATACCAGTATGTATTTTTCGCCACATCTTTCGCCAAATACACAAATACTTTCGCGAACCCCCGAAAAAAAGAGAAAAAAAACTTTCGCGGGGTCTCATATTGTGACACGTCATTTGTGGCCATTGTAATAAACAATCCTTACTGGTGGACCTTTAGATTGGCCTCCATATCATTGCCAATCTTAGATACCCTACAAAAAAAGAATCTTTGCTGGTTAGTAGATAATCCCATTGTTACCAAAAGACTAAAGGATTAAACTACCCATCTAAGATTGACCTAGAATGACCTATAATCTATAGATAATAGATATATATATAATATCCAAATATAAACCCTTCCCCCTTGGCCGCAGCTCTCTCCCCGCCTCGAGCTTTCGGAATGCTCAGCTTGTTGGCTCGGCCCGGAGGACTGGGTGTACGCGGAGACTTGGAGCCGACCGGGGAATGTGTTCGCCGACCGCGGGGTGAAGACCGGGGTGAAGCCTGGTCCAAAGCATTGGTGGTGGAGATAGTGCTTAAAAAAAGGGGTGATTTGTGCTAAACATGTGGAACGCATGTTTTAATAGTTTTAATAAATATGTGTGACTACAATTTGGAAGAAACCTTTTGCCAATAGGATCTTGCAGTAATTGGTTGATTCATATCGATTCGATGCTTTGGTTTTAGAGAAAATTCCTGTTTTCAGTGGAAACCCATGGGTTACCGTCCGAACGTGTTCGAACATGTCAACACTAGCTTTTTGGTGTTCTGTGAAGTCTCTCTCGAATCGCTAGATTATGGAGTCTTGAACCATATCTACATATATACTGTTCATCGTGTGGTGTATCACCATGTATCACCCATTCCTGAATGCGGCTGCCACAGCAAAGAACCATTGCACCAAAATACAAAATTCTGAAAGGTGTAGAGGGATACCAGTGGACTCTTGAAGTGGCCAACCCAACTGTGCCTTCAACCAAGCACCAGAGGTTCGAGACGTAGGCATTCGTGCCAAACAGTCACCCTCCTGGAACGAGAAAAAGGGCATGGGATCACATTGACAGCAAATGCACTTGGCATTTGCCCGCGAGAGTTTCTGACATCTAGATTGACTGTACGAAACATGACACATCCCACCAGCTAGCAGAGGTGACCAAACAAACGCAAGACATTAAAGCAGAGGTGAACAAATCAACTAGTTTGCTCAATGCTTGCTTAAAACCTTCATTTGATTCCATATCAAGAAGCGGGGCTGTCATGGTCAACTCCCCGTCCTCGCATGCAAAGACCCACAAGGCTGGATCGATGGCATGAGAACCTGCTGTCCCAGAGGATATACCCATATGCTCCATGTATGGAATATTTACCAACATGTGCCCTAAAAATCACCCAAATGTAGGTAAAGATACCATACATGGAGCATCTGGGATATATCATGTAAACAAATCCACGAATCAAGATCCCACGAATCTCAATTCAGTAGATGGGTTTGTCTGAAGGGTAAGTAGCCCAAAAACCAATGGTTTATAAAGTTTACCAGCATCCTCATTTTCAAAAAAAAAACAGAGATAGCCAATGATATAGTTTACCATCATTTTTTGAATAAACATAGCAATGCTTTAAATTCATACCACTTAGGTGTCCCCGCTCGACCCCCCACCATGTGAAGAACTGGACATCGGCGACGAAGGGGGACTTCCCAAGTTGGTCCCTCGTCTCCGGTCTCCTGGCTGGATGACTTCGGGATGTCCAACTTTTGAGTTGAATTCTTAGATGGCCCTCTGGTAAACTAACAGTAACTAACATAGCTATTGGAGAATCACCAGATAAATCAAGGTGAATAAAGGTAAACTGACCTCTCAGTTTTCGGCTAGCATTACAGGCTGAAATAGCGGAAATAGGCTATTTCTGACATGACCATGTTTGAGTGTTGTTTCGGGGGGCGATGTTTCCGTTCTTTGTTAATGTTGGGGATCATCACTGCAATCACAGTCACCCCAAAATGTCTCAGGTTTTAGATGATTCATTCATTATTCATTCTATGTTGCGCCTGATTGTGCAAGTTTATATCAGGTGTAAAGGTCCCAACACTCCTTGGGCTGCAGTTCCAGTAAACTAAGTGGATATATCTTACCACATGGGGATGCCACATCCCAAATTTATTCAACTATAGTTTTTAGATGTTCTTAGGGATTACCCTATAATTTGGGGAACAAACAACATTCGATTCCCGCCAAAAACCATGGCCGAGCTCTGGAGAAACAGGAGCGAACGAAAAACCCAGTGGTCAAGTCGTCGCGTTTGCGTAGCCGCTCGTTGAATTACCGGAGGGTAACGTTTGGGATGCCAAAACCTGAAAATGGTGAATAAATGGTGAATAAATGGTGAATAAATGGTGAATAAATGGTGAATAAATGGTAATATTGGTGTTTATTATGGTGAATAAACACAAATTTAATTACAAATATAATAAGATCCTTTGAATTCCACTGACTATTCCACTATATTCCACTAATTTTGAAGCCCATCGGCAAAGTGTCAGCAAGCCAACCATCTCCAATACCCTTGAACAAAAATCCAACAAGATTGCTTGCCAGGTGAGAAGATACACATTGTGATCTGCAGACAATTTGCAGTGTACTTGGCAAATATTGGCAAATTGGATAACAACCAAGAAGATTGGAGGGCAATATGTTACAAGTACTTGGAGTCATCAAAAGTCTTGTTTCCACACTGGTGGATCTGGTTCCCAGGCTCCTGAAAAAGCTTTCAGAAGGTACTTGACACGGTCCTCACCTCAGTGTTTCGTGAGTTGCTGGTATCTGAATACCCTGAATGTGATCAGTGCATCCAATTTATGCACGTTTTGAACAATGCAGAATTGATCGTCTTATTTCGATACTTCTGTCACATTCTGTCATGATACGTCTGTCAAATTTGGCAGGTTTCCTACAATTGGGAACTCCACAAAAACACTCGAATTTGGATGCGTTGGATCTTTTCACATTTTGTTACTATAGGAATCCATGGTTTGGGTGTCGCAATCTATACACCCATTTCAGTATTTCAAAAGCTGTCCACAATCTCGTTTATTTCCTAGCAACTGGAAAGTTTATTGCAGGACCATGAAGCCGTTGCTTCAGTTTTTCCCTATGGAAGAAACTTTCAGCACTGCTGTTTCGACAGCCAGCTTCGAAAACACACAGATTATCACAGATTTGTCACCGGAGCATACCCTCTAGGAATTTCGCGCCATGCAAGAACACCCATTTTCATCCATGTTCCATTATTACCTCAGCAAAAATGAAGGTGTTTTCCAGCCAACCCAACCCAACCCACCAGAGGTTAGGCATGTTCATGTTCACCACGGCACCAAGTTTGCTCCGTGCCGTGAACTTCCTGCGGCAGCAAAGCAAGGGCAGAGATACACCCAGAACATGGATGGCTTATGGATATCAAACCATGCATGCTTGTATAATGAGGATGGAGTGGGATACCGGCATACTGTCCTGGTTATTGATGGGTTCAACTATATATATAATATGATATAATATGTATATATATAATTATACAATACATATCATATACATTCATATACATTCATATACATCATTTCAACCCCCAACCGCTGAAGAACAGCAGATTGATTTGGAATGATTTGGATCTGTCTCAAACATTCTCAAACTGCTCAAGTCAAGCGCAATCGATCGAAATTCCAATAGATTCCCATTTCCTTCTTTCACGCTTTGTCGCCCCGGAGCACATGTGTTGCCCCGGGCCCCCAACATCTTCGCAGCAGCCCGTGCTCCTGAAACTGGCCACCATACGTTTCATGACGCCCTCCTTGGAGCGTTGTGTGGTGCAAAAATCGATATTGGAGCTATCCACTTTCCAACCTGCGCATGGCGAGCAGCACTGGGTGGTCCAATGTGAGGGATGCTGCATGTGTTTCTTGACACACTGTTGGGCCTCGGCAAATAAGAAATAATAGGACAGGATAGGATATGCTAGGATTGATTAGGCAGACAGCGTTAGACCGACAAATAGAATAAAATAGATACATGACACAATATGTAATATCCTACATAAGATATCATAAGATCTTGTCTGACTCTCATATTACGTAACTGTAAGGTTGCAGAATGTATCAACATGTTTCACTTCCGTTCAACCCTTTTAGCTGCAAGAGAGGCTGCAGCATGTGCTGCTCACATGAATCATCAAAAGGGTCCCTGCATGTCGCTGCAAGGCATCAAACAGGTGACGCTTTTTCAGAGATTCAGCAACTTCAATCGTTGAGCTTCTCAAAGATTGCACTATACCCTTTGGCAATGATTAACACTTTGCTATGGAAAATGACGCATTGATCGATTATGTACCATCATTTACCACTTCATGGTGAATTTGCACAGTTATGAAATCCTATGAAAAAAAAATATGGCACAGTTATTGATCAATTTGGCGATGAAATCCTATGAAAAAAAACTGTTAGTCACTAACAATCTACCGGTGCGTCCAGCCTTGGGCCCGCGACAAGGACTTCAGCACGATTTTCTCGGTGCGCTTTTCGTCGCTTCGCTCGGAGCTCATTATCGACCAGCCATCGCCTAACAAAAACCAAGGTTTTTGTAGCACCCAAAACTGGGATTTCATCAACAATGGTGATTTCATAGAGAACAAACTCTGATTTTAAACAACCGAAACTGTGATTCAACCGAGAAAAATGTGGATTTACCGAACAAAATAAATCAACCAAGCAGATTTGAGCAAGAATAGTTGGAATTTAATGTGATTTAATCGAGACAAATGCCGGTTTGATCAAGGGCGGTAGGAATTTCACCGAATTAAGCATGTGAAACTACACAAGAACAATCAAGAACAGACGGGGACTTGACCTAGAAAAGCAAGTTGCTTTCCCATCAGGGTTCCTTTGCCATTCTTTCTCTGTAAATATCGCCGTGGGATGCTGAGATCCAAAGACCAGGAACAGGTGCTGGTCACAACTGGGCTGATTCGATCTACTGGGAGATTGGTTGGTTGGATGGTGACCCCCACTTCCCCATGGCAGGGGCCCAGGCTTTTGGTAAAGAATGTAAAACATGGCACGGTACAACCTCAAGGAAGTAGCGAAATCTAAGTACAAAATATTCGTCAAAAATCCAAAGTGTGGGTTTTTAAATGTGTCTCCAATGAACTCACAAGGATTCTTAAGGATTTGTCTGTTTAATCCTCAAGAACAAGCGTCTTTTTGGTATTTAAGGTCGTGTTTGCAACTGGTGCTAGTATGTGCCGGTGTAAATCATGCCACGTTTGCAACGAAGGGGGTCTGGGTCAAGCTTAGGTATCCCTACTTGAACATAGTCGACAAACGCCAAACGACTTCAACTTCGACCCATACTTATATGGTAAATCATCTGAATCGAGCCCACAACTCAAGGCACCTCTATTGCCACGCATTGCTGTCAATGTCCACATGACACTCAATGTACCACAATTGTTGTCCTGTATGGGTATGGATCAATACCTATTAATACCATTTTTAGGGGAATGACCATCCATTTACCAGCTATTTTGATGTTCACCAGGGGTGCAAGGTTTTGACACACTGCCATATATCTATATCATACACTGCCAGGCCATGTCCTGTCAAATCTTCACAGCCGTTGCGCCTGGACCAATGGGTCGGATTCGTTGTGCCATGAGAACAGCGCCTGGGTGCACCTTGGAAATGTCCCGTGCACCAGGAAGCAAGGTCGCAGCAGCTGCAACCTCATGGACCAAGTGGATTCGACGAATGGCTGTGTGAGAAACAGGGACATGGCGTGGTCAGTTGGTTGGTCCATGGGTTTTAAGTTAAACCATACAGATTGTGCATGCCAAAGTAACATTCTCCTGAAAAATCCTGAAAATCTGTCCATAGACGAATCTGTGACTATGTCCTAAAGCTACTAGAGTGAAGCTCTGCTGTTGCCAAAAGAACAGACAAAACATGCAAAGTAAATCGATCCAACCTTATTTCTTGAGAAATGCATGGATGCATGGATGGTGTTAAACATCGTGGGAGAATTGGGTGCCAAGAGACACAGTCAGCATGCGTCACCACCAGAAAGTTGCGAGTCTGAAAGCACATTGACAATGAGAGCCGTGGCACAAACAAATTGACCAACAAGAAATCTACCCTGAAAACAAGAGAGGAAAAGCCCTGAATATCAGATTTTAGAAGCCTGTTTTACTACCTAAAGCCACGACTTCAAGGTGTATTGCATGACAAATGAAAATCAAAGGCTGAGTCAATTCTGGTGATACCTCATCCTCGAACGAGAAAGTTGCAAAACATATCAAAAATAACATGCAAACTATAGATGATATCAACATTAGATATACCGCATTACCGCCATGAATCATAATAATGAAGATCTGAATATATATGAATATATATATATATAGTATATACATAATGAATATAGGGTAAGTATATGGACTCATGCAGTATACAAAGAACCAGTGGCAGTGGAACACCATTTGTTTCCAGTTGATTCCTATCATCCCCCAGCCTGTTCCCAGTGAAAAGTCCAGAAAGTGTTGGTTAAAAATTAGGAACATCACCAATAAATGGTCAACTAACAAATTGCTATGAACACATAAATTCTGTGTGTCATGACTGTGTCATGTCTTAATTCTCATTAACATCATTACGCATTATCAATCTATATATGTTGATACTTTTTGATATACGTCAACTTCATCAACATCTTACATTAAATCTTTACGGTATTAATTAATAATTACTGATTATATATCTAAGTGCCTGCGCACAATTTTCATCAACTTCACATCTTTCACAATCACAACACCACGGCCTTCTCAGTACCTCTATGGACGTAGCCCAAAAAGGCTTCGTTGAATCGCTGTCTGCCTGCGGAAGCGGACCGTTGAAACGGCACGGCACAGCACGATCCAAAGTCATTCCGTTTTATGCACAAGAAATTCAACATGCACAATGATGATATATCCAGTATGATTATAAAATACATCCTCGATGGAATATAGGGTGAGCAGCTGTGTACCAGTTTTGTAGGTATGAAATATGGGGTCACGGGTCCCCTAGCTACAAAAAGGTATGCCCAACCCAAAAAGCAGCTCTACAAAATGATGCTGCAGGTACCCCACACATACCCAGGTGGAGCCTACAAAAAGCCACTCGCATTTTTGTTATGGATGTTGAAAACGGATGCAAAAGCGACTAAGATAAGCCCAAGTCTTTTTGTAGTCTCACCCAGTTTGTTTTCGAATCATCTTTGCTCAAAGCCCAGTATGGTATCTAATATGCGTGTCAATTAGTGTGACATCGTGTCATCTAGAGTCAATTAGTGGTGTCAATTCGTATCGATTAGCTTTATTTAGTGGCAAGTAGTGCAATTAGTGACATTTAGTGTCCAATTAGTGTCAATGAATGTTATTTAGTGTTCATTAGGGTCAATTAGGATCACTATGGATCATTTAATTGTGTGTAATAAAAAAACAAAAAGCAACCAAAAAACAACAAATGAAGAGTTCCCACAAAACGTTGCCAAGAGCTGCAATTTGTGTTTTTTACTAGGGTAGGTGCGTTATTTTAGGGAACTAAGCTACGCATATTTGTATAACTCCAAAGACACGGTGTATATATATATACACAACTCCAAGGACAGAGTCCTGGACTATATATATATATATACATACATATGTAACTCCAAGGACAACGTCCTGGTCTATATATATATATATGATTCTATATGAATATACAATAACTCCAAGGACAAAGTCCTGGACTATATACGCATAAGTAACTCCAAGGACAAGGTCCTGGTCTATATATATATACATACATACATAACTCCAAGGACAAAGTCCTGGACTATATATATATACATATGTACCTCCAAGGACAAAGTCCTGGTATATAAATATATAACTCCAAGGACAAAGTCCTGGACTACATATGTTTCCTATTTAAAAAAAAAAACGTCCCTGTTCAGGACACTGCCTGTTCGGCAGACTAGTTACTGTTTCGTCATGGTCCTGGCTATAGTATTTATTTTCAAGGACCACATCCTAGTATACATCTGTAGCAATTTACATATATATATGTGTTTTTTTAATACTTATATATATTTATATATATATCTGTAGTATTAACTACTTATATATCTGGGTTTTATTTCGTGTCGAGCACCTAAAGTACCAAAGTCTGCCCATCCAATTACTGCGCGCTACAAAATGATGAGGCCGCCTCACTTCACTACAAAATGCATGCTGTGATCAACTATTGCATGAAGTTCCAACGACCCTCACGTAAGCATGGTATCTAATATGCGTGTCAATTAGTGTGACATCGTGTCATCTAGAGTCAATTAGTGGTGTCAATTCGTATCGATTAGCTTTCTTTAGTGGCAAGTAGTGCAATTGAGTGTCAATTAGTGACATTTAGTGTCCAATTAGTGTCAATGAATGTTATTTAGTGTTCATTAGGGTCAATTAGGATCACTATGGATCATTTAATTGTGTGTAATAATAAACAAAAAGCAACCAAAAAACAACAAATGAAGAGTTCCCACAAAACGTTGCCAAGAGCTGCAGTTTGTTTTTTTTTACTAGGGTAGGTGCGTTATTTTAGGGAACTAAGCTGCGCATATTTGTATAACTCCAAAGACACGGTGTATATATATATATACACAACTCCAAGGACAGAGTCCTGGACTATATATATATATAACTCCAAGGACAAAGTCCTGGACTACATATGTTTCCTATTAAAAAAAAAACGTCCCTGTTCAGGACACTGCCTGTTCGGCAGACTAGTTACTGTTTCGTCATGGTCCTGGCTATAGTATTTATTTTCAAGGACCACATCCTAGTATACATCTGTAGCAATTTACATATATATATATATATATATATATGTGTTTTTTAATACTATATATATTTATATATATCTGTAGTATTAACTACTTATATATCTGGGTTTTATTTCGTGTCGAGCACCTAAAGTACCAAAGTCTGCCCATCCAATTACTGCGCGCTACAAAATGATGAGGCCGCCTCACTTCACTACAAAATGCATGCTGTGATCAACTATTGCATGAAGTTCCAACGACCCTCATGTAAGCATGGTATCGAATATGCGTGTCAATTAGTCTGACATCGTGTCATCTAGAGTCAATTAGTGGTGTCAATTCGTATCGATTAGCTTTATTTAGTGGCAAGTAGTGCAATTGAGTGTCAATTAGTGACATTTAGTGTCCAATTAGTGTCAATGAATGTTATTTAGTGTTCATTAGGGTCAATTAGGATCACTATGGATCATTTAATTGTGTGTAATAATAAACAAAAAGCAACCAAAACACAACAAATGAAGAGTTCCCACAAAACGTTGCCAAGAGCTGCAATTTGTTTTTTTTACTAGGGTAGGTGCGTTATTTTAGGGAACTAAGCTACGCATATTTGTATAACTCCAAAGACACGGTGTATATATATATATACACAACTCCAAGGACAGAGTCCTGGACTATATATATATATAACTCCAAGGACAAAGTCCTGGACTACATATGTTTCCTATTTAAAAAAAAAAACGTCCCTGTTCAGGACACTGCCTGTTCGGCAGACTAGTTACTGTTTCGTCATGGTCCTGGCTATAGTATTTATTTTCAACCCCATTTTTTCATCTTATTTTAAGCCTGGCAAGGCCTTGAAACGGGGCACAAGGCCTCCCATTCTGTAGTGGAAATTCGAACGGGGATACTGAGGCTACAAAATGCATTCCCTGATTCTCTTGGGCTGCGTTGTACATTGCATGATTCAGCCACAAAGAGACTACAAAATGCAGTCAGCAATTTATAAGCTGATGTAATATCACATAATCTTCCATTTTCGATTCCACGTTTTGGAGGCCTACAAAAAGCCTATTGTATTTGCCAAACAGGGGGCCTACAAAATGCCTAGGGTAACTTTACTACAAAAAGGGGGGCCCAAGACTAATTTCAGCTACAAAAACCTATCCCCAGACCATTTTATACCGTACACGTGTTCTCCCTTTTTGTAGTGGAAATACCATCGGGGATTAAAATACTATATATATATATACACATGTCATACACCCAATTACATGATGTTTTCACATGACTTTCATCGCTCCCCAGTCCGCGCCATCTTGAAGTGTCTCGCCCCAGTGTAGCTTTGACCCCACCTCAGGGCGATCACAGGGCCCCGGATGTTGCGTTTTGTCATGCAAACAATTTGAAGAAAATGTGAAGAATGGGGTAATACCATGTGATAACACCAACTTCTCTGGAATCAAAGTCGGCCCTTCTGAACAATATGTTGAATGGTGAAATAACATCACGTTGTATTCATAAGGAATGGATATCCATTTCAGACAAAATCTACTGATTGCAAGGTGTTCACACATCTTCAACATCCGAGATGGACATGTACAAAGAGCTAAAGAGCCATGTTATACATATATATATGTATGTGAAAGTATATTATCACATCTATCTATACAAATGTATATAAAATTAAATATACATTTATATACATACGCGTCATTACTTCAACATTGGTCAAGTATACATATACATGTCGAAAGTCCGCCGACATAGCTGTTCAAAAATATGCAACCCTTTCACGATTCCGTCGCGGGCAGGCAAACGTCAGGGTTGCAGCGTACATATTAATACATGTTAATTAATTCATTCCTTTTTTGTATAGCACTGATCCATCTCTTCCTTTTTGGTGAATATTGTATGTTTTATAGACTCTGTGAATCTCCGTTCTTCACTTTACACCTTGAGTCATAGTAGTGTTTGGACAAAAAGGACATGCCCTGAATCAGATCAACAAACTTGAAAGAAGGAACCAGGGCAAAAAATAAATTTACATCAAAGAATGATAAAGAATGCCTACCCTGTAACACATACAAACAACATATTGGAAATATTTGGAAATCAAATATCACTGAATCTGCATAATGTTTATACATCTATATTTTTCATAGTCTGACTGTACACGATATGATAACTGACGGCTAGCCAGTCGCTAGCGCCTGATCCAGACTGAGACTTGCACACAGACTGGCGCAATTCGGGTCACCCCTCTGGCTTTGCAATCCTGGCCACCGAACTTGCGCAGGGATCTGGGATGATCCGATCATCCTCTAGGTGGCCCTGTTGCGTATAACGGCTCCTTGATGTAGTATATAGTCTATATATATATATAGTCTATACAGTTGTATATATATATATATGTATATAATAGTTGCTAATTCTGTTGAGGCTGCAGATTGATGCATGAGACATGTTGCGAGATGCAGTGTCACATAGTG